AACTAATTTAAGAGTGAAAATCATTTTCGACGCTTTTCCTTTCTGGCTAGTTGCCAATCAGGTCACGATCTGTCGCTCGTCCAGTTTTCAGCTCAGTTTTCGGGGCCCCTGATTTTTCATGTTCTTGTGAAAGGGTCACAGCGAACATGTTCATAATGTGCGCTAATGTGCATAATGTATGCGAGCCAAAAACCAGACACGCACACTTGCACGCCGACAGTCCACGTCCCACACACAAACACACACCTGCACACCTACACACACTCGCAATCAGGTTACACGTGCAACAATAACAACAACAGGAACAAGGTGAAACAGGCAATTTAACAAGCCATCAACGCTGATGGTGCCGACAATGATGTTGATGATGGGATGGCCCGTTCTCCGGCAATAACAACAAACAACAGCCAGCTGCAATAACAACACGGCTAAACAGGAAACATGGAGCAACTACAGCAATCGGTGACAACACGGCAATATTATGTTGCACCTTTGCCACACACTCACACCCGCCCTTTTTCCTGTATCCCTATTTTCATAAAAAAAACATGCTGACAAGGCAAAGTTCGCTGATGAAATGGAGAAATTGTGTGAGCTAATTAAAAAAGGTTTCACCAAAATAAGGATAGTTCTTTCGAGTTTGCCATAGCTTGTCTAAAGGATTACACAAAAAACAAGAAAGGAAGCTAGCTTCGGCCAGCCGAAGCTTATATACCCTTGCAGATCATTCCTATTAATTAACAAATCGCAAAAATGTTCAATTTTCTAATATTTATCATTAATTTTCCGATCGTTCCTATGACAGCTATATGATATAGTCGTCCGATTTTGATCAAATTAAAATTGAAATTCTGAATTATTTAAAAAGAGTCATATCCTAGAGTAGAAGATAATACAATAAAAACCAAAGAAGCTAGAATTTATTTCCTATTACTTTTCCATTAATTTTCCGATCGTTCCTATGGCAGCTATATGATATAGTAGTCCGATTTTTTAAATAATTAATTCGAAATTCAGAAATATTAAAAAAATAACATCCCCAAAAGTAGAAGGTAATATTTTAAAAAACACCGAAGTTAGAATTTTTTAAAGTTTTTTTTCCGATTGTTCCTATGGGAGCTATAAGATATAGTTGTCCGATCCGGTCGGCTCCGACATATATACTACCTGCAATAGAAAAAAGACTTTTGGGAAAGTTTCATCCCGATAGCTCAAAAACTGAGAGACTAGTTTGCGTAGAAACAGACAGACGGACAGACGGACAGACGGACAGACGGTCAGACGGACAGACGGACATGGCTAGATCGACTCATCTAGTGATGCTGATCAAGAATATATATACTTTATGGGGTCGGAAACGTCTCCTTCACTGCGTTGCAAACTTCTGACTGAAATCATAATACCCTCTGCAAGGGTATAAAAATGGATATGAAACGATGATCAATTTGATATTATAAGGTATCAATTTTAACGTAAACAACAATATGCTAAGTATGCCAGTTCGAAATTCGAATGTGTCTTTCTCGCTCCAACTCATGTACCTATAAGTCGTCATATTGCTTCTACCTCTCTTTTTCAAAGTTAGAGAATATCCGATAAAGAGAATTCGGCAAAATTATAGTATTTAATATCAATTTTCCCAGAACTGCATGGTAAAAACGATATGCGTTTAAGCACCAGAAAGTTACCATGCGCATATCGAGTTGATCCAAGCGTGTTTTTTTTTTGTGGGTATCTTAATTATTTTCGTTCAATGGGACATGATATTTGGAAAGTTAGACAAAAATGTTATTAAAATAATATCACAAATTTATTAAAATAATACCCAAAATTCATATTTTTTGCTGCATATAGAACACGTTTTTCCTTGGAATACAAATCAACGTACCAATTTCAGCCACCATAAACTTAACATGGAAAGTCCAACCCTTTTTGCAGGCATTTCATTTTACGAGGATGGCAAGAAAGCAGCCTCCTTTTGCACTTTGCACTTTCCACTTTGCACACGGCGGCGGAAGCACGAAAATTAAGGCAATTCAGTGCGGGCTGTGCATCTCGTCACGTCTTCTTTCGAGGATCACGTAGTGACCCACACGCTTGCCCAAAAAGGGAATACTTGATGCAAAACTTTCGCCTTTGCCGGCTAGAGCTTATCGCTGGTGCTGCATTCAATATTTATTACGCATACGACCGGGAGACACGCTCGGCTAAGAAGAAGGAGCCCAGGCCCCGGACAGGACCACCTATAAGTGGCTTAATTAGTGCGACAAAGTGTTTGCCAATTCAGAATCCCCCTTTGGCTGGTACAAGCTTGAGACCTCTAATCAGCTTACACATCGTGGTCTATTGGAGCCCTGCTCCACAGTTTCTACCTTTCATTGGTCCGGCAAAAAGTGGCTTGGCATTAACGGACCAACTGCTGTCAGCCCTGAAAGCCACCAACTGTTGCTAGGATATGGCTATTCAGGATTCCCTCCGCTTAACAGGATACTGGCATGATTTGAAGGCCTTGTTTTTGGTTTATTATACCCGTTACTTGTGGAGTAAAAGGGTATATTGTATTCGTGGAAAAGTATGCAACAGCTAGATGGAAGCATTTCGATCCAGCCATGTCTGTCTGTCCAACTGTCTTTCCGTCTGTCTGTCCGCCCCTTTTACACCCACAATCGCCTTAAACGATTTTAAAAGGTGTCTGTCGCCCACTCCTTTAAAGATTTCGGAAAAGCAATATACAGTTTTATTGTGTTTATCAATACCTATCGAAATGCAGAAGAATATTTTAAATCGGACCATTCGTTAAAAAGTTATGCACTCCCTCTAGCTGAGTAACGGGTACCTGATAGTCGGGGACTCGACTATAGCGGTCTCTCTTGTTTTTGGTTTATTTTTAATATTGCATAATCCACTTAGTGAGGAAAGGATTAGTATGTTAATAATCTAATTAGAAGAAAATCATTTTTACGATTGGAAAAGAGTTATTTAGGTAACACATATACAATGAAGTATTTTTGTACATAAATAACTTATAGATAACTTACCTATGTAAGTTATGATTTTTATATTTCTTTTATATTTTTATATTAAAGAATTATTTATTGCATTCAGAATTACATTTTAATGGGACCAAAAGTGCTAAATTGCAAATATTTAAAGGGCAGCCTTAAATACCAATTGAATTTTGTTAAAGTAAAAACTGACATTTCATTCGATCTGAAAGCCTTTTTCCCTCTCTTCTTGTTCAGCCGTCGAATGGAATGTATAAAATGTAACGACTGAGGCGGCAGACACTCCCACTCATTGGTACAAATACAGACACACTTCCGCGAAAACACACACATCAAACCGAGCTGTTGATGGCTTTCAGTCAGCGGAGGGAATTCACGGATTCGTATTGGCCAAGCACACATAACTCAACGGAGCGACTGGCAATGAAGGCAAATGCATCCGGATCCTCGTGGGCTGCCAACAATTAACAGCATAAATTTAAATATGCAATTAACGCAACAGCTTGAAGCACCAAAAAAAGAGCGATAAAATAAACGGAAAATGAGCTGAGTCAAACCCAGTGGAGCAAAAAAGAAATTTCAGAGCAGTGTTTTTCGAGAAATTATGTTCTAAGTATTACAGGTATTATTTTTCAAACCACTACTTAACATTAAGGATTTTATTTTAGTTTGGTTTGCAAGGCAATTAGCCAAAAGGTGCCGAAACTTTTTGTAATGCTTTTACTCGCAAAAATCTGTATGAATATAAAGCTGCTTAAGTTTTTAAAATCTCAATGTATTAGCTTTAAAGTAATAAAAAAGTAAACTATTTCTTCACCACCACTTTATTATACTAGGTCATATTTTACTTATCAAGTTTCACCTTTTTTATTGGTAATTCTAAAACAACTAGAGTAATGATCAACAACCACTGTAACTTAAACAGAGGATGGATAACAGGGAAAGACGACCAACTAAGTGGGAGGGTGGAGTCAGAAAGGTCAAGGGATTGGTAAGAGTGGAAGGAAGTTACTGCAGCAAAAAAGCAGGCGACAATAAAAGCCAAAGGTTATTTTAACACATGCACACACGAACGCAGTGCAGTGAAATGCATTTGATTGTTTGTTTTTTGTTTTTATTTGTTGCTGCCCCACTCATTGTTTTTTTATTTCGAACACGCAAAAAACAAGGCGAAAAAAACACAATTTTCCGCTTTATTTGCGCAGAGCTGGCCGAGCCACAACAACAGCAAAATGACAAGGGCAATGTCTGTGCGTTATATGATACTGCTATTGCCCCCCCACCTCCTTCGACCTCCCCTTTTTGCAGCACCCCCTGACCTCACCCACAACACCCCCAGCAATCGTTGCCATAGCCACATGTCAATATTTTTGCGCTTCGGCCTCGGTTACATGGGCCCGCAGGGGATTCGTCCTGTAAAATTTATTCCAGTGCAGCGGCCGACTCTTTACTGATGTGTAAATTGCTCTCTCTCCCGTTTAATGAAATTAAAACAAATTTTCAGTGAAATTTAATACACGCAGAAGCTGCAGAAGCAGCAGACTGCGCGCAGTAGGCATAATAATAATAAGCACAATAATGGTATTAAAATTATTGCACCTGGCCAATGCACTTGACAGCAACACCAATAACATTGCAAAATTACGGTTCTCAATTGCGGGAGTCAAAGTGCAAAAAGCTGTAAAAAGGCCAATTCATTAATGCAAAAATATTTATCAGTATTAACAAATTTGAATACCTATGGGGGTGGGGGTATAGGACTAATTTAAAAGGGGTTTTGTTTTGATTGGATGCTCTTCGCTATAACTATTCCCCAAACATTACAAAGTTAACTCTAATATTAAATTCTTTCCCAGGGCATTGAAATAAATATTTTATTTTTCGCATGAAAATGGAATGAAACTTATCAGAGGCTATGAATTTTTGATAATTAGAGAATAAGCACAGAATAAATTGAAATCAATATAATCAGGAACAAGTTGAAGACATTTATGACTAACATTCATATCAATCGCACAAAAATCCCAAATTACACAGGGCCTCATCCAGGGACGGATTTTCAAGTTCTTCGGGTTGCGGTTCGAGTTCCAACAGTTTCTCGATGCTATAGCGCTGCACAATGTGTCCCTTCTGATTGATTGATTCCTTCAACGGAGCCAGGGGATTTCGACGGATGTTCCAGTTGGCCAGAGGTCGGAAGTGGGTGAGATTCCCCCTGCGTTTCTCGGCAGCTAGGAGCTCAGCAGGTGGACAGTATCGAGGCTTCGTTGTGGCCCTGAGATCGCCCAGTCTGATTATTCCCGATGCCGTAATGTTGACTACATTCGAGTTAACCAAAGGCGGTTTAGTTGGAGTTTGGATGTGAGATGGCAATGAAGTAAGGCCCTGATTCTTTTTTTCTGCACCCATCTTGGCAAAATATTTGGCCCGACATTGCTCGTCCCACTCCTTGGTGGTCGGTATGTATCTCTTTTTGGGGACCACCTCGGCCACCTCGACTTTCTTCACCGGTTCCTGTTCTATGGCGATGGATGGTTTTTGTTCATTTTCATCATAACGACTCTTCTTCTGCTGCTGCGATTGCTCTAGCTTCAGTTGCTCCTGTTTCTCATTTGTCATTTCCCGCAGGATCCTCTCGATACGCTCCCTCTTCGCGGCCCTCAAACGATCCACCTTTACTCTTTCATCCGGGGTAAATCGTATGGGGGATCGTGAGAGGTGAATAACTGGCTGAACCTTGTCAGAATTTTCAACTCCTTGAATCGGAGGGATTAGAGGTCCCCTCAAGCGGCGCTGTTCCGACAATTTTAGGGCTTCTAAGGCCACGTTTCTCTCGTGCTCACGCCGCTTTTCCTCGACATCAAAGGGCTTTTCAGCTAGAGAAGAAGTACTTGGAATCACATTGGAAGAAGTAGTCGGAGCCATTTCCTTAGGACCAGTGTGTGGAGGCAAGTCGACAAGTAATTTCTCCTCCTTGGGCTTTTTCGCTCTCTTGATGCAAGGGAGAATCATGTAGTCTACATCGTTCAATAAAACTACCTGGGCACTGCGGGCAGCTAAAAATATTAATTAGAGTATGCAAATTGCTATTACTTGAATATGAGTGGGGGCTTTACATTTTTCAGACTTTTTGGGAAATCCTTTCCAGGGCAAAGTAAGGTTAGATTTTAGCTTCTGCTCATCCTCCACTGTTTTCTTCATATCATTGCGGTCGACCATAGCTTCGTCTTTGGTAGATTCTGCCCTCTTATAAAGCGGCACAAATTCCTGGGCATTGGCATTTAGCTTCACTGTACTTGCGCAGGCCAGCTTCCCAGTAATATCAGCAGTTTCCACATGGATTTCTTTTAACTGAGGCTCCTGAATCAAGTGGTGCATGGTCCTTGCGCTCCTCCGCTATATTTTCCTGTACTTTAAAGGTTTATCCTTTTTTGTGAGTACTGACTGCTTTTGTTTCAGACAGATAACTGTATATTTATGCGTATGATTGGACCTGCTCGACATGAGGTGTTTTAAAGTATCAGTCCAGGCCTACTGGACTAAAAAATTTTTGAGTTGTAATCGAAGCCTATTGTGATCTGGTACACCAAAAAAACACTTGATATGAAACGATGATTGGTTTGATATTATGTGGTTTAATTTTGACTTGATATGCGGGCACCTTAATTCGATATGCTTAAAATGTGAGCAACAGGCTAGTTTAAAATGAGTCTTTCTTACTCCCACTCATGTTACTTTAAGCACAATCTCGCTCTATTAAAATAGTTTTTACGTCAGAAAATTTACCATGCGCATATCGATATGGGTTTTTTTTTTGTGTTTACTATTTTCTCTATTTGCATATAATGCCAGGGCTGCAAAGGATTAAAGTGATGGCAATTTTCTCTATAAAATGGCCATCTTAAACTAGACAACAAATTCTTTGGATCACTCCGCCTTCAAAATCGCTTGGCAATTCATGTACATTTCTCCATTGTTGACATTTATTCGCACAATAAACACAAAGCCAAGGCGGGCGGGGAAAGCACAGGTAAAATAGGTGCAGGCCCGGAGAAAATGTGGAGATGGAGCTGAAGATGGGTACGTGGCAAAAGGAAAAGCCAGCAATGCAAGCAGTGCAAGCGGTAAACGACATTCAATAAAACGTTTGAAAATATTACAGAAATAGAGGGAGAAGGAGCTGCAGACGGAGAAGTGAAATGAAATGAAAGAAGCGCACAGAAATATGCAATTTCACCTCAATCAGAGTTGTAAAAACAAACAAACAATGGCCAAGTGCAGTGAGCTTCGCTCGGCAGGAGTTCGTCCTTGTTGCCTTCTTTCTTCACCCGACCCCCTCGAGTACTGGGATCACCCCCACCCCCTGGCCAGATGTCATGTGAGCCACATGCTGGGGCTCCTTGAATCCTCGTTACCATTTACTACTATTCCCATTCCCGTTCCTGTATCGTTTTGCAAGCTCAAGCGAAAATGCAAAGAGCAGAAAAATGCAATAAGTAAAACGTAATAACTGCTCAGGAGCTGTGAACGCCTGGCTATATAATCAGGTTGTTTGGCGAGGGAAAATAGGGGGAGATACCTGCGTTTTCGCTAGCCTAAAGCTGAACAAGCCGAACGGAGAAAGTGAAATCGTATTCAAATGGAAATAAAGACAGCTAAAATAGGTAAGGAGGGACAAATAAGAACTGATATATGTCGGTATTAAAACAGCTTCACAGAAGGGAAATATCAGTATTAAATAGTGGCTGAAGAACATTATATATGTGGCTTGAAGCCATTCGAAAGGTCGGTAGATAAAGTCTCACAAAATCCTACATTTGTTTCATCAGAAAAACAGTTCTATAAACCCAATAAAAATCAACACAAAAAGCACAGAAGATAAATAAAATTAGTATAAATTATTTAAATCAATTAGGCAATCCAGCCCCAAATTTCTACAACGTTGTCCGACAACTTGTAGGTCATCTGGGGATTACCACAGAGATTGGCGTCCACACATTCGCCTATTTATCCATGCATGGCATGGAGTGTTGCAAATTTTTGTGTAATTCGACTTGGGAAGTAGGTGAAAGTGGAGGCGTCCGCCACTAATGCATTTGTGGTCAATTGCCGGGCCGCAGGAAGAGGGCGGGAAAACGAACTGAGGCACTGACATCATTTTAATAATAAAATTGTTAACAGAATTGCTGTGCTTTTGTGTGGCCCGGGCCAAACACAAAAACATGTGTTGGCCTTGTTAGCAGCAAGAGCAACACACATGTGCACTGCGAAAAAATATTTGAAAAATGTTATACCTCTGGTTTTGTTTTATTTTTCATTCAAGACTTTTAAATAATTTAAAATATTTAAGGTTGCTAGAAACCAAATTTAATATTTGTGTTTTTAGGGTTACTTTAAATTTAATTCCTTTAGGTATTGCAACTTTTTTTAGTTAAATAAAAATTTTGTATTTTTTAATTTTTTTAGAGGACTAAAAAATTTATATATTTCGAATTACCACAAATAGTTTTACTGAAGTATTCAATTATGGAAAGTTTTAAGATCGAATATATTTAAATTAATAACCAATTATTAAAAATTATACTCCCTTCGCAATCTAAATTAAATTACATTTACAGTTAGTAATTTTCTTAAATAAAGATATTGCCTTCCTATATTTTTTTTGCAGTAATCAAAATATTTTTGAGAACCCACGACGACGACCTCAATGTTGTCGTTGTCGTTGCTCCTGTTCCTGTTACTGCCACAGTTTTTGCCCTCTTGCAATCTAAATAAAATGGCCGACGTGTGTGTACGCACAACTTTTGCCATATTTAATCGTATTTACACCAACAACAACGGCACGGATATATATATATTTTCTGAGGGGACCTTTAGTGCTGGCAATTGTAGCAGTGGAGACAAAAACAACTCGATCCCACTGCTCGCTTTTGGGCATTTGCTTATTATTGTTAGAAACTTTTGCGCCCACACAACAAAAAAGTCAGGGAACAGAGCTCGCACACACAATTGGCCTGGCCTCCTTCTATCTTGCTGGGCAAATGTGTTTTTAGAATATTTTGTAACACAAAAATTACCTCAAAATTTGGACAGATGGAAAATGGAACTAGAGATGGTCGGCCAACAATGAATATGTATAAAAATTCGGTTAGAAAAAGTTGAAAACAATTATATGCTCGAAATAAATTTCTAAATATTTAAAATTACTTTACTGTTTAATTTAGTTTTTACCAAACAAAAAAATAATGTCGTTCTATAAAATATTTATTAATCTTATTATTTTCTTTAATGCTTACACTAAAATTTAACGAACTATCCTTTAGATTCTTTAAGCAAAATAAGATTCAATCAATTTATTTCATACTTAAATTACGAGCGATTATTTTCTGTTAAACTATTCCATCTCGAATTCCGAGTTGGGAGTTTGTGGCAGTTATGTCGGTTTGGCTTTACTCACAATTTTTAAGCTTGTTTCGAATGGTGACTCTGCTGGGGCAGCTTAAAACGTGCAATGGAAACTTTTGCCCTGGCCAGGTGGAAAGTTTTAAGACACAAATTTATGCCGGGACGGACACAAAGAGAGCATGTGTGCTTGGAAAGTGATTAAAAATTGGGTCAAGTGTTCGTGCGAAGGGAGATTAAGCAATTTGGCATCGGCACGCACACAAATCAAAGGATTTGGCCATCTTTTTTTATGAATCCCCTACACACGCAGCCCCAAAAGTTTCTCGCCCGCAACGATTTGTCATTTAGCGTGGCCGAGAGAGCGGCTAAAAGTATGCATTAAAAGATTCAACTTCGACTTAATTACAAAACGAGACCACAAACTATACGTACGGGCAATTTCGGCAAGGTGAGGCCATCGGAACAACGAGTTAACAGGGAGGTGGCATCAACATCACCTGCCCTCAATGAAGTCAACCGGAGATTGCAGCACCGAGCGAAATGCTACAGAGAGTTTTGTGCTTTAGAATAGATGAAGAAATCTTAATAATATCACTTGATATTGAAAAAATTATAAAAATTTATTCGATTTTCATAATTGCTATTTTAAATCATAAATAAAAAATATTTTTCTCGCGTTTAATCATAAAACTGTATATTCCTGATATTTTTCTGCAACCTGAAATTGGTTAAGGAGATTAGCTTAAAAACGTCTCGTACTATAATTCTCCAAGTGCAGGTGTATAGTGAGGACCAGGACTGACAGTCCTTGTATCCTCCTCGTGTGTTGCTCAGGTTTGTTTTGGCTGCGGTTTCAGCGGCATCCCAGGGAGCGGCACAGACCCAACACCAGAATCACCACCATCACCATCGCCACCAGCAACTGCGGCATAAACTACTCTGCGTGGGCTTCACTCTGCATGGCATTCCAGAAATAGTGCATCTCCATCGGCCCTGCGAATTCAGCTTCTGCCAAGATGGACCAACTGTGGATGGAAATCTGCAGATGCTTTGCCGCAGATTCCTCGACTCTTTCCATTTTGGGCAATGGTAAATTCGCCACTTGGAAGTGCCACATTTAGTCAGATATCAGTTGGTCTTACGTTTTCAGTGTGTTGGTATATCATTATAATTAAATCTTTAGACATAATTAATTACAAAAATATTTAAGATTGTAAATTTTTGACCTTTAAGGCATAATTCAAAAAAATTATTTAAGATTGTCAATTTCGTGTTTGAAAATATTTTGTTCTTGCATAAATTTACAAAGAATTCTAGTCCTCTACAAGGTTAAAATAATAAACGCCTCACAAACTATTTACAAACTGTTCTCAAAATTGCTCCCTAAAATGTCTTAAAAAAAGAAAACAAGGAAAAAATAGCCCTGAAAAAAATATTGTAATCCGTTAACCATTTTACATACGTTAATGCATTCTCAGTTATTGGATTTTTTAAAATGACTTAAAGAGTTTATTATGTTGATCAGCCAATTTAATGGCTATAAAACATAGATTACAAATAGGAACAAATAACGTGAGATCATAACAGGGTGGTGAATAACAAATTTTTATAACCTATACTACAAACTAAGACGACAATTTAACAACGCATTACTGCTTCAGGACTCGTGAGACGTGACGTCCTCTTGTCCAGAGATCGCCGGGATGCCTTCGCTTCAGCCTTCTCCTGTTCGTCGGGTTGGCCAAGGAAGCTGCTAGGTGGTTGGGGTGTCCTGTGAGGCGTTCGTTGTACCGACTCGAGTGCCGGTTAATCTGATCCCTGACCGAGGGCATGTGGAGATCGTTGGCTAGGTCTATGTTTCTGACGTACCACGGCGCATTCGTGATTGTTCGCAGCGCCCTATTTTGGACTCTTTGGACCTTCATGACGTTAGAGTCGGAAGCCATGCCCCAAAGTTGGATGCAGTACGTCATTGAGGGCACCACTATTGCTCTAAACAGCAACACTTTGTTGGCAAGGCTGAGCTTGCTCGTTGATTTGAGCATCCAGTTGAGCTTCCTTAGCTTAGCG